AACATATCATGTATAGTAACAATATGCACGACTATATGTCTAACACCGAATATGGTCTCCTACTTTTCCCCTGCATACATTGACACTTCTCTGTTGACCTAATAACGATGAAAGGCGAGCGACAGTATCTTGCATTGGAACGTCACATTCTTTTCAACAGCAGATTAGCAAGGCCGAACTGAAGATCATAAACTCAGCATACCGAACTGCACGCGATTTCGAGACGAAGTATACAATCAGTGTAGATATAAGGCAGCGAAATAACACAACTCCATGCAGGAAACAGTCGACGGAACTGACACAGTTAAAATGAAAATTTACAATACGTCAGGAATGAGAGCGGATATGACTAAAATTCATGCGAAAGTATGTCATCTCATGAATCCAGTGATTATGAGATAAAATGCAAAGCCTACAAAAATCAAACACTTTTCAAAAAGGACTTTGAAGGTACGTTTGAAATGGAATGGAATGAAGTTGATAGTGCAGTGTTGATCACCTTTTCTATGCCATCAGCCAGGAATACCTTACTGTTTCAAGGCAGAGGCTACAGTTGCGGCAAGTGTTTTGTGTAATCTCCGGCTTACCACAGAATGGTAGTCATTTATCAACTTCAGAAGGAAGCAAAAAAAGCGAGTGACCCTGAATGCGGCTTGAACTCAAGACCCATCAGCTCTGAGTTCGATACCTTACCGACTGAGCAACCAAGGTCTGAAGCCCTGTGAAGCAAATTCCTTGCTCAGGGGAATTTGTAAATAAGACAACGATTACCTTCGAGTGAAATCGAAACCATGATTTCTAACTTCGAAGCAAACAGTTCCAGCGCGTTATATCGAATACTAATTCGACTTTATTACAATCAACCGTATTTTGGAATTAGGAATAAGGATACGGTAAAAATGCTGCAAGCACAACGGCTACCTGAGAAACAGACATTTGTTGCCCGCAAAGATGCGTCCTTTACTTACACGTCTGGAGATGCAAAATCACGGGTGCCCGCGATTGTCAAAATCTTAGAATTAAATTTCCACTCATAGAAGATGAGGCAGTTCATACAATCACCACTGTGAATCGATCGCATTTCTGTGAGAGCAGCCTTAGTCCCAGCTGGATAGGCTTGAACTCAGATCGGCATGCTGGTAATTGCTTCGCAGATATTACTTACTGGAAACTTATTCTGAGCTCTGTCAAGGTGAATGGAAATAAAAAGTTCCTCTGAACTATTCAATATGGTTGACGTATGAGACAAGACTCCGTCAGTATGACTTGCTTCATTTGCTTTCCTAAAACTCAGATCCCAAAAATCAAGCCATCGAATGGGTAGCAGTTCTTGGGATAATCATTACCTGCGGAATTCATCTGCAGCATCATATGATAAGTACTGGTTTTACAGAATCTTAACCCTGGGTGGACAGTAAGATCAGTGAACTGCCTGCTTTAAGACAAAACTACTTAAACTGCATCATTAACAGGATTTGTTGACTTTGCTACCGAAGCATAATGCAGTCGAAAGAAAGTTTCGATTCAATGGCTGGAGACATGGACTGTCAGCGGTTTCAAGGTAAAATGCTTCAACTTAATCTTTTCTCCTCGCAAAAAAATCACTCTCTGCTAATTCAGCCTCTGCAGAGAGCAAGAGACGACTAATTAAATAATACTACGTGAAGGCGAAACATGGTGGAGGGTATTTTCTCTAGCCGGGAAGCGCAATTTTTCCTGTCATGAACCGTGAAACGGCGGACTGATAATGTAATGGCATCAGGGGTTAAATGATGCTTTATGTCTACAAGGAAAGACTATCTACGAGGAACGCACTCTGACACCATGGCTAGAATTTCAAGTAGGAGAATTATGGTTCGCTGCAGCGTTTCAACCACCAAAGAAATCACGGAGAAACCTTTCAACACTACTTCTGAATAGAGACCTGAAACCTGAACAGAGAATGACGATTCATGAGTGAAACGATTGGACGATATGTATGGCGCATGAAGTCAAAACACATTGTGAATACACCACCCTTCACGATACTAAGATGGCCCAGAACACAGAAATCAGAAGTAACCATATAGCCAACTTGCGCATTATACTGCAGACTTTCAGAACGATGGGAACGATGGACGGTTACTATCAGAGCCACCAATAGGTGTTGCTTCGTTTTATTTCGCTTTTAAAATGAGCACCTGTAATATTGTCTTATGGATACACAAGTAAAGAAATTACGCTCGAATTGAAATGGTCCTTGATGCGTTCTTGCTGATCGGTTTCACAAATATGCAGTGTTTGTTGTTTGTTGTTAGAGGTTGAAACTTCTAGTTTGCCTTCTACTACTGTTGAGTAACTAAACAAAACTGAATTAAGTTGTATATGATAACAAACATAGGCAATCAATTCAAAGTAGACAAATTTTATCAAATTGACAAATGGTGATTCTTCCTAACCAGTGCTGTATTAAGCAGAGAGTAACTGAGGTGACATCTTGAAGCACTAGACTATTATTACCAATTCTATTTATGACCTTAATAAATGAGGTGCACATTCACTAAAATAAGCATTTATAGTATATGATAAAGATAAATCATAAGTGTGAATTCTGCAACAGAATCGGAAAGCGGAAAAATAATGCAGTACAGTGTCAAATAGCTGAAAACTACAAAAGAAGGAGGCTTTGAAGATGCACCCCGTTGCAGACGAGGATAGATTATCCTATCCTGGAACAGACAGGCTACGTACGAACGCAAAAGACAGGTTTAGCGAAGTAATTAACAATTTATTCCTTCATTGCAATCAGCGTAAAGATGGAGGGAAACGGTTGCAGTGGAGGAAATATATTGAATACGCCTCAAGAGTGAGCTATAATTTACGAAACCATGGATATATGGTAACATATCAATGACGTCATCTTTCAGCCAAGGGTGAATGAATGACTGGCCGGTTGCGATGAACTTTAAAAACCGATCAGACAACTCTTAAGTGTACTGCTGAAGTACATAAAGTCAATAATAAGCAGGAGAGCGAAGATGTCGGCGAAGTTGTTCAGGCCATTTTTAAATTCAACAGATATGCATAAAAGAAGCGAATTTACTCGTCAACCTATTCATTTATATTACTGCTCCTTCACGGGTATTTTCTTTATTCATTATAGCATGGTTTGTCATCGTGGCGTTGAGCTAGGCAACTTGCATTGGAGGGGGGTTAGCGTGTCTAACGAAGGTACTAGTTAAATATGCGCAAGAGAATATTAAACGTGGATTTAAATGGGTCATTCTTAATATGCAGACTACATAAAGCAGCAAGGAAAGGCATACGTTGGGAATAGAAAGGAAACATAGGAAAGCGAGTTAACTGAAACGAACACAAGCAGGAGTCTACGATGTCGTTGCATGAGTGAAGAAGTTTAAGCGGAAATGGGTAGGATTCGTTGCAAGAAGAACAGACTAGGTTTCAAGAGAGAACAAATCGCTCGCAGGAGGACTTGCAGATCAATCGCAGGATGAGCTACAGAAATTCTCTAGATCAAAATGAATAGAAATCACAGAAAACAGAAGTGTAAGGCTAGTAACCCTTGGATAGGGTTTGAGCCAACAGGGTATCGCAAAAGTCTGAGGACGATAAAAACGCGATGGCGTGACCATACTGACTTAACTGGTGATTGGATAGGCGAACTTACAGTCGCTGGACTACAGGTCGCTGAGTACGATAGAATCTGAACAGAATTTGTTGCTTTCCTTGTTTTATTATAAACATATTGACAAATACGTACTAGGTCAAGCAATTGGCATATAAAACTGGTGAAAATTGACGTGGGAGATCACAATAATTTCCTTGAACAAGAAGAAAACGCATAACTTGCAAATTAGCTGCAGTCTGGGACCCTGTGCGACTAGTCATGATTCAAGGGTTTGACCAAAAGGTAATGAAGAAGAGGAAAATATCTTATCTACGCAACAAAGAGTTTCTTGTGCACGTACTTGATGTGAGTGACGCAATATGGCAAAAATTAAAATGAATTCGTTTATAATACAGGTGAATACGATCGGTTACGAGGTGTAGACTGAGAAGAACAACCTATAAAATGAAAGGTACAATTACAGGTGGCATTCAGTACGGAAGCTGTTGCAATGCAGTATCAAAGAAAAACAATGGAACATTAATGGAAATAGTAGGTTAATTTGCATAAACAGCTAGGCTGGTTTTTCTTTTAGAGAAATTATTACGGAGGTTCAAATTCAAATCTTTGTAATTCACTATGGACAATGATCAGCCTTCTTATGATGCTTAACC